CTTTTACTCCACTAAATATACATGGTTTTAATGGAAATGTCCATTCTATTGGAGAAGATACCCAGTTGTATGATTTATTATAGTCATTAAGAGTTTTCTTAAGATATGTTATATTTGTTGGATCATCAGAATGAAAATCGTACGTAGGCCAAATATCTACATGATAATGAAATTCTCGATCTATAAATCGAGCGTTAGGTGCTACGAAGCTAATACCTTCTGAACGAAAATAAGAACGATTTGCATATCCAACAGTTGACCATTATGGATGAACTTTAAGTTCATAGGCTGATGAGAAATTCTTGTCTGCGAATGGAACCAGATACTGTGTGTCTTGTGCTAATATTAAAATATCAACATCAGGATCATGCGATAATAAACCACCACGTTGTACATAGCCAATAAGTGTTCCATATGCTATTCAGTACTGTATTTTATGTTCATAAGCAAAATTTGCCCATGCATGAAGCATTGTGAGTAGACATCGTTGACGAAATCGATCATGCGAATGGCAAATGGGAATATGTTGTAAAGCATTTGCAATAGAATAGTTTGTAGTTTAGGTGAATTAAGTATAATTGATGTTATTTTTCGGATCATAAATAACCATGAATAAGATAAACAATAATACAATTACATAAATACATTGTAATGCGAATTTTGATGTATTCATCATAGAAACAAGTAACGCTCGTCTGCGGACTCGCTCAGCTCTTTCTCGTAGAAATCGTATTCTGCAATACTAAACTTTTTGCTTATACAGTTTGGAAAAATTAACACCAGATTTGTGTTCTTCTACCCTACTTACCCTTCGGTCACCCCTTGTGAAAATTTTTTTTTATAAAAATTGGTTCTCTCCCTAAAAAAGTGATCCATAAAATTATCTTATAAGACTAACATCAGATTCGAACTCTCCGCATCGAATTGCCCCAAAAATGTCTTTTCTAAAAGATCGATTCTCGAATTACCCTCTAGTAAAACTTTCTTGGAATTATGTTTAAGATTAATAATATTAATTAATTACTAATTGATTTTCAACTAAAATTAACCTCACATTCGAATTATTGGCACTCGATTACCCTTCGATCAAACTTTTTCAAAAATTAATAATATTAATTATTAACTAATTATTAATTGGTTGTTAACTAAAAATAACCTCAGATTTGGATTCTCTACACTCGATTACCCTTTGGTAAAACTTTACTCGAACATATAATAATACTGATTATTAACTGATTATTAACTAATATTAACTAGTTAATTTTAATAAACTAACCTCAGATTCAAGTTCCCTGCCCTCGATTACCCCCCAGTCAAAGTTTTCCGGAAGTATCTGAAAACTTAAATTTGAATGTTTTTTTGACCCTGCGGACACACAAGCAAGCAAGCAAGCAAACAAACAATTTATGTTTACTGGACTCTTCTCTACGGGAAAGAGAATAATAATAGATGCTGTTGACAAAGTGTCGCGTTGAATCGTTTATCAAATATAAAATAATTAATTATATTAAAAACCTTTTTCGTTAGAATCCATTTTAGTTTTTTACTAATTACTTTTAGCGATAAAAAAAAATAATTAATATACAATGATACCGTAGAGAATTAAACGAAAAAGTAACAGTAATTGTTTTTGTTACATATGGATCCTCGATTATAAAAGACTAATTCATCTATAGATTACTTAGACAAAATAAAGATTAAATTATCTGCAGGAAAATAATATCTTTTCGACTTATTATTTCATAATCATTCATATTGAACTCTCTCATTTTTCGCACATTCAAACAATTACACTGTTATTCATATATATATATCATAGCTATAAATAATACAATCAACAAAAGATAAACATATATATTTAAATTTTATTTGTATAAATACACAAAACGTACACGATAACACGAAAAAACAGAAGAATGAAAAAAAACCGATAGATACATACAACAGCACAGGAACAAATAACAATCTGTTACTATTGAAAACATTCGCCAATAATTAATATACGCATTACAAATAATTAGAGTTGTTCTTACTTTAATTAGAAAACGATCAAAGATGGGTTATTAATAAACTTGATATAGGTATATTTGAAAACAAATAAACAGCAAATAACTACTAAAAAATAAACAAACGAAAGATTATCAATTCCTGTGTACACATAACGAATCTATAAAAACAAAAGGAATGTATCCAAGAAAATAATTCGTCTGATTACTCATTCCATAAAATACAGTCACGACACAGCAAAAACACATCAGATAGTAAAAATATCAACACAAACAAGAGAAAGAACGAAACAACAACTATATCCATAATAAAAAAAAACATCACATAAAACATATATCTCATTCCACTAATCAGAAACAATCGAAAACTACTCCTGTCTTCATAGAGAACGGAAAAAACTTACATATCTGTACATA